GGTTGTATTTGGCACCAGTGGCGTTGCCTTAGCAATTTACCACTTTGGCACAGATTAAAAATGTGTTAATGATTGTTGGATGGAAATCCATTAGATTTTGTAAAGACATTCATGGTTCCACAGATCATATATCCTAAAGACTTTGGTGATCATTGGATTTTCTTCTCACCCCAATATGAGGTTGACATTTGTAGGTTTAACCATCAGGTAAAAGTTTTAGTTTCTCCAGTACTTTGATTTATGACCAAATACCTGCAAAACTAATGACATTCCCATCAGCCTCAGCTGTTGTGTGTGTTAAATTCTAATTAGCCAATGTTAGCATGCTAACACACGAAACGGCCTTTCAGCCTCAAATTGTAATGCAGCCATACAGAACCTTTCATGGTGTGATGATGCGTCAGCGGTCGACCGTATAGCAGTATGATGAGGGGTAGCATCAGTACATAATGCAGATGGATGGCACCTGTCGCGGCGATGCAAAGATAAACTTGATTAATGCCTGCAGGTAAATTTGATTCTGATTTTGATATGTAGCAGCAGAGCACCAAGTGGAGTGAATGTGTGATTAACTTAACGGTTCGTTAATTCATGTAGAACACTCCATTTCTCCGACCAGCAGGGCTCTCATGTTGGTGTAGAGCGTCAGACTGAATTTACAAACACACCATGTCAGGTCACTCACTCTCCGAGTGTTAAGTAAACACTGACCAATGGGACCAGACTGGCCGACCCGTATGCTCTCACTCAGTGGATGGATGATGTCACAGGAAGCCAGTCTTACAAAGGAGGACGACACTTGAACAGTTTCCTCCAGTTTGTTTTGTAGTCAAACGTTAGCTAATGTGCTAAAAAGTTAGCATTACAGAGAAATCCAATATTCCTCTTAATCCCTCCCCAGTTTCTGATGAGGTGGACGTGATAACCCTTAATACACATAACGTTATTCATCCCTACAACAGGAAATACTTTTTCCCTAACCTGATATGAAGTGTGCGCTGCACATGTGAGCATTTTTGATGATCCCCTCCGTCCAGTCCTTTCATCTTATCACATTTAACCATAGTTGTCTTTGTTTTTTGACGGGCAGTAGCGGCTAGTTTGAGCCATGACTCCTTCTATTCTGGCTCCAAATAACACAACAAAAAGACATTTTAAGACTCCTATGTAGCCTACAGCCCTGTGGTGGAGAGTTGTGTTTTGCCCCCAGGTAACAAACTGACGTCATTGTGATGTCGGCCCTAAAAGGGTCTGTACACGCATGATAGCGTGCACTAGGGCCCATTGAAACTTCCTTGCTCCACTGACTGTGAGTAAAAAAGGTGTAACAGATTTTGTTATTAGTGTAACTACAGCTGTAGATGACCATCATTCACTAACTACTTTTCCCCTCAGGATTATAACTGCACCTCAGGACAATCATGATTTCCGTCACATTACTTTGTTGGTGTGACCTCTCAGTTTATGCACGTGTAAGATTAAAGACTTAGAGAGAGTAACTCATTCATCCAGGACTCCGTAGGACGCTAGTTATCGTCATTCAGAGCCCCTGGCTCATTCTCCTCCGCTGTACATGTGATTGCTCAGTTCCTGCTACTATATCTTGCATCATCAGCCCACAAGACCAGTGTACAGTCTTCTCTGCGTAGCTTTCATCTCTCTGGTGTCACAGGCAACAGTGAGTCCAGACCAGGTGACTCTATTCGTTCAATGGGACATATTGTCTTCCCTGATTTCTGAGAATGGAGAGGGCAGATGATGGGATCCTGCAGACTATAATCACTCGACCGCAAAGATCATTTTGGGAAGCAGAGTTAATGGAAATACATTTTTTGTCACTGATTGTGTTCAGCTCACTGGTCAGATAATTTTCATTCAAGGGAGGTTTCAGGGGTGGGAGTTTCTAATTACTCAGGTCCTGTTAGTGTGGTTCACTGGCTTTTACTCATGGATGGCAGGATGCCGAAACTCTAATCTGCTCAGTTGTATTGGGTCAAAGGCAAATGTATTAAAAGATTGAATTACAGATAAACTCCCTGAGTTTGTTATAGCGCCCCAAAAATGTCCCCCAAATCCCCACACTTTTATTCTGGCTCTCTGTTTACAGTTATATTTGAGTTGTTTGTAGCAGAAAATAATAGCACTCAGTTATGATTCAAAAGAGATTTATTGGATTGTTTTAATAGGTTAGTAGGTCATAGGTCATATTTTTACTGGGTGGACAAATTAGTTCTTAATCACAACTTGAGCCCATCTGGTCCTGAAAAGCCTGATGTGTCGGACCAGGAGGGTAGGGCTAAATAAATTTTAAAAAAAAATTAAAAAGTGAGCACTCCGTACTTAATTTATTTAATTATTAGTTATTGAAAATGTAAATCCAACATATATCATAGATATTATGTCGATTGACCAGTGGATATCATCTCTCGTTTCTTCTGCTGCTGGCTTTCTGCATTTTCTGCTGGAGATGTGCATGGCTTGTGTTGCCAGGTAGCTGGTGTGTCCCGGGCGTTAGAGGCTGACTTGCTTTTTGAGGGGGTCGGGCTTTGCCGGGCATGGCCCAAGTATTTTATGTGATGATCTCCGATGGGCCAGGTTGGATGGTCACTTTGGTTTGTTATTTTTTGGCCTGTTGAGAATTCGAGGACAAATGCACATGTTCTAAACACTGAGGGGGAGGTGTCCCCTGCCCTGAAATCTACACCCTTCGTTCTTTTGTTTCCTCTTTATTTTATGAAATGAAAACATTTTTGGTGCTGATGCATCAACATATAAATATGGGTACATTTTGAAAAAGTATCAAATTCATGCTCATCCTCTTTGACTCTTTATCACATTCAACCTCAGGACGTCACGTCTACACCCAGTGAGACCGCTTATCAGGCAGTGCACTGGTGCATTTAATCACCCAGTTTTAACACATTTTTTTAAAGCTTCACCTCTGACCCTGTGACCCTCTTTAAGTTTGGCTTAACTGGCTCTGCTGCTCCCCTGCCCCACAGACAAACACACAAACACCCAACACTGAACCTACACTTGCACAAAGACTGCTAAATTTTCATCATAATTTAGAAACATTTTAAAGCTATTTAGGAACATAAAACTTACGCCAGAAGATGAAGAATCAAATTTGCACAACTTGTAGAATTTTATTTAAAAAAGACCTAAAATGAATTCTGGAGAAGTATGAAATGCATACTATATGAAATAAGACAATAGCGATAAATAATCATTAAGAGAAGGAATACAAAAAAGCAATGAAAAAAGAGTGTTCTTTTTTTGGACTTGCAGCCTTGGGATTTAAGTTTTTCTTGAAGCCCCTCTGTCTCTGACCTGTCTGACCTTTCTACACCTTAAATCTGAGGAGTTTGCTCAGGCTGTTACAGTGAGTTAGGCTCAGTGGTTCACCCTCCCAGAAAACTCTCAAATCACAAAAAAATCCTGGTAATTGATTATAAAGTCACAAATTAAAGGGCCAGTGTGTAATATTTGGCATGGTTTATTGTCAATCTGAATCTGAATCTGAATATTCTACCCATTAATATGTTTATACAAGTGTATAATCGGTATAAAATAAAATTCGTTTGGTTTTCGTAGCCTTATAATTATGCTTTTATATATATATATAGCAAGGGCCTTGCTTTAGAGAGGTCGCCATCTTGCGCCGCCATGTATGTACGGCAGACCAAGCGGACAATCCAGCCAGCCAGAGAACGCGTTTCACGTGTATAAATGAACCAACGAAGACAGCGGGAGGAAGGAAGGAGGAGGAGGAAACAGCAGAGAGTGTTAGTAGTTTGTCCATAGAGAGTAGTGAAAAGTTTTTTTAGTTATAAAGTTTGCGAATTGACCACACTTACCACG